GGTGAGATACAGGTGAGATACACCTGGGCACAGGTGAGATACAGGTGAGAGACACCTGGGCACAGGTGAGATACAGGTGAGAGACACCTGTGCACGGGTGAGGGACAGGTGAGAGACACCTGTGCACAGGTGAGATACAGGTGAGAGACACCTGGGCACAGGTGAGATACAGGTGAGATACACCTGTGCACAGGTGAGATACAGGTGACAGACACCTGGGCACAGGTGAGATACAGGTGAGGGACAGGTGGGGTCAGGGAGCCCCCTAAGCGTCCAGGAGAGCAATACACCTGTGCACAGGTGAGGGACAGGTGAGACACAGGTGAGATACAGGTTGGGTCAGGTGGGGTCAGGGGGGTCAGGGAGCCCCCTGAGCGTCCAGGAGAGAGACACACCTGTGCACAGGTGAGACACAGGTGAGACACAGGTGGGTCAGGGGGGACACAGGGGTCACGGGGTATGCCCAGGTGTGTCCCCAGGTGCCCCCAGCCACCCCCAGGTGTCCCCAGGTGTATCTCAGGTGCCCCCAGGTGTATCCCCAGGTATCCCCAGGTGCCTCCAGGTGCCCCCAGCTGTCCCCAGGTGCCCCCAGGTGTATCCCCACCTGTCCCCAGGTGTCCCCAGGTGTCCCCAGGTGTCCCCACCTGTCCCCAGGTGTATCCCCACCTGTCCCCAGGTGTCCCCAGGTGTATCCCCACCTGTCCCCAGGTGTCCCCAGGTGTCCCCACCTGTCCCCAGCTGTCCCCAGGTGTGCCCTCACCTGCGCAGCACCATCTCGGACGCTCCCTTGCAGAAGAGCCGGTAGCCGCCGCCGGGCCGGCGCGTGACGGTGCTCATGGATTTGCGCTCCGAGTTGAAGGTGAACACCTTGACCAGGTGATCCTCGGGCACCTGCGCCCGCTCGGCCTCGGGGTCGCGGCCCAGGGCCAGCGCCAGCCCCAGCAGGGCACACTCGGTCTTGTTGCCCACCTGGCGGGGGAGGGCCCCGGGGGCTTCGGGGGGCTGGGGGGGCACGGGGGGGCAGGTGAGGGTGGGGCAGGTGAGGGTGGGGCAGGTGAAGGGGGAGGGGCAG